CTCTCTCCCCACTCTCTCTCTCTCTCTCTCTCTCTCTCTATATATATATATATATATATATATATATGTGTGTGTGTGTGTGTGTGTGTGTGTGTGTGTGTGTATATACACAGATATGATTGCCTTCAAACTCACAGAGATTCACCTGCCTCTGCCTTCCAAGTACTAGGATTAAAGGCATGTGCTACCACAGCCTGGCTCTTTACATTAAGCTCATGTTATTTCTTTTCTTAAAATTAAAAGTTTTTTGTATAGCTGGAGAGACAGCTCAGAGGTTAAGAGCACCAGCTGCTCTTCCAGAGATCCTGATTTCAATTCCCAGCACCCACATGGCGGCTCACAACCATCTATAGTGAGATCTGGAACCCTCTTTTGGAGTGCAGGTGTACATGCAGGCAGAACACTGTATACTTATTTATAATAAATAAATAAATCTTTTTAAAAGGGGGGCACTGGAGAAAAGGCTCAGCAGTTAAGAGCGTTGGCTACTCTTCCAGAAGACCTTGGTTCAATTCCCAGAACCCACATGGCAACTCATAACTGCTTGGACTGTAACTCAAATTCCAGTGAATCTGATTCCCTAGATATGTATGTATGTCAAATGTGCATAAAAATAAATAATTTTTTAAAAAGATTTATTTATAAAAAGTTTTTTGTGTTATATAGTCTCCATGTAGAAAATATATAGCTACATCTTCTCTATTGTTTATAATCTTATATGGTAAATATAATATTTTAATTATAATTTTTTTGTAAATTGTATAATATTCCCAAGTATTAAAAAATGAATTGAAAAATTCTACTTTTCACTATAACAGGAATCCCATAGTTCAGAGAGGAAGCAATGTCAGTTATTAGTGGTGAATATCAGAAATATCAGAGAACTTTTGTTTTTCTTTTCTTTCTTATTGTGTTTGCATTTTCTTCCATGGGAGTTAGAATAGTTTAACTTAAATACTTTTTTTATCACCTAGTTTTTCATATGAGCCTGTGAGTTCTATTAGTTTAAAGAAGCATAGAGAAGAAGGACATGCCCTTTACCATCTTGTAAGATACACCAAACTAATTTTGGGATTAAAAAAAAAAAAAGATAGTTTTTGTAGTGACTTTATCAGAACTGAATAATAATAACAACTGAGTATTAATTTATGATGTTCAGTTTCTAGAAAACTATTAATGCTATAGAACTATGTAGAATTGTCTACTATTAAAATGGTGTTGTAAGCCAATAATAGAATTTTTATATTCAGTGACCAAGAAATATGTATATTTTTATATTAAGATTCAGTTTTTACAAGCCCAGGTATTGTACCCAGAATTATAAAACTGTCATAGATATAAAATTTCTTAAGGTAATGTGGTGACTGTCTTATGAGACTGTCTTAATAGGCTGTTCAATTGCTGTGGTAAAACACCATGACAGAGGAACTTAGGGAAGGTACGGTTTGGGGGCTCATGTTTCTAGAGCTAAAAGGATCCATCATGGCAGCTACTTGGCAGCAATGGCAGCTAGAGGAGTAAACTCAGTGTTCACAGCTTTAACCACATGCAGGAACAGAGTGAATGGGGAATGGCAGGAGGTTTTTAAACACTAAACGTCCTAAAACTCCCACTGCCATACTTTCCCCAACAAGGCCATACCTCCTAAGCCTCTCCAAACAATGGCACCAACTGGGACCACTATTAAAACATCCGAGCCTATGGGACACTATCATGCAAACCACCACCATAACACAGGCTGATAATCTCAGTACTTAGAGGTATAAACCTCAGGATCAGGAGTTTGAGACTAGCCTATGCATTATGAGTCACTGTCTTAAAAAATAATAATTTGCCAAAAAGTAGATAAAACATGTTCATTCAGAAGGGTAAACAGGACAGACAGCAGAAAAAGGAGAAGACAGGAACAGGACAGGAGCCTTCCACAGAAGACCTCTGAAAGACTCTACGCACTAGGGTATTGAAGGAGATACTGAGACTTATAGCCAAACTTTGGGCAGAATGCAGGGAATCTTATAGAAGAAGAGGGAGAAAGACCTGGAGGGGATAGGAACTCCACACAGAGAAAAACAGAGCCAAAAAATGTAGGCTGGGAGACCTGCGGAGACCGATACTCTAACCAAGGACCATGTATGGAGAGGACCTAGACCCTCTGCTCAAAGGAAGACCATTGGCTGCTCAGTTTCCAAGTGGGTTCCCTAATAAGTGGTACAGAGGCTGTCTCTGACATGAACTCAGTGGCCAGTTCTTTGATCATCTCTCCTGGAGGATGCAGCCTTGCCAGGCCACAGAGGAAGATGGTGCAGCCAGCCTTGATGAGACCTGATAGTTTGGGTCAGATAGAAGGGTAGGAGGTTCTCTCCTATCAGGGGACTAGGGGAAGGGCATAGGGGGAAGAAAGGGGCGGGTTGGAACTGGGAGAAGATGAGGGAGGAAGCTGCAGCAGGGATACAAAGGGAATAAATTGTAATAAACAAATATATAAATACAATTAAATTTAAAAATAAAAAAGTAGAAAAAACATGTTCTTGAACATAACTGACCATGATTTAAGCATTAAGTGCTTTCTTGATGTGGTGTGTGTGTGTGTGTGTGTGTGTGTGTGTGTGTGTGTGTGTGTGTGTGTGTGTG